GGCCGGACCGGCTGCTAGGCGACGGCAGCGGCCACCCGCGCTCTCGCGAGAGTCGCGCGCCCGGTTAGGTGCAGCGCGCTCCCCTTCCCGCTTCGCCTCTACCACTGGGCGGGAAAGCTGTCCCTGTCCCCGTTCCCTCAGGATGCCGCCGCCACAGCCCCTCCGTAACCGGCGCTTGGGTCCCATGAACACCTCTAATGAGCATCCCGCCACTGCTGCGTTGCTGAGCCAGGCTCGGTTGGAGAGCCGGGGGATGGTTTGGTTAGGTTTGGTTTTCATAATGCCGTGTGGTGGTGATGCTTCCCTCGGAGGCCGATTATGGTCTTCCAAGTCAGAAGAATGCCCCGAGCAGGTACTCTTTAGTTTTAAAACTCTCTGAACAACAAAATAGTGTGAGATTATCGTTCTGAAAGAGAGACAGATTATGGTTTGTGAAATGTCTAGTGAGGATAACGCTGCAAAATGCCCCAGTAACTCTACCTCTGCATTTAAAAGCCCTTCACTTTCAATGAAAAGAAACGTTTCACAACCTAAATGATCATTTTTAGTCTGCAATTTCCTACAAAAACTTTCACTTTGTTACGCTGTTCATTGGTAATTTTGTTGAAGTAACTGAAAATGGAGATACTTAAAAAGCTGTTAGCTGCACACTTCCTCAGCTCTAAAATCAATATGTGTAGACCTTTGCTCATTGTGTGTTCACTTCTCTAGGTTGGGTGATAATGAAGAAAAATCCCTACTGAATCATTTTCTTTTCCTTTCACTTCCTTCAGAAATAGTATGGTACTTCTCCAGAGAGTTAAACCCTCTTTTTTTAAAGCCGTTTGCTCAGAATAACTTTCTGAACTGACACTACCTGTTCCTTGAGGCCAGCGGGCAGTGAATACCTCCTTAGATTTTCCTCATTCAGAACAGGTCGGTGTGGTAGGCAGCTGCTCCTTTGGGTACTTTGCTGCTCAGGAGGGACTTGTCTGTGGGCCAGGTGGGAGTAGTGGAGTAGTACCAGATCTGTGCCGCATCCACATGCTTGGCCCAGAAAGCTCTGGTTTAATTAAATATTCCTGGAAGAACAGACTTCAAGAGGTAACGGTGCTGGTGTGGTGCTCTGAGAGCATCATCATATGCTAGGTAATACAACCCAATGCGAAGGCTGCATCTTCTGATACATTTCAAGTGTCTCTAGATCAGTTTCCCACCTTTTGCCTTTTAAAGGGCTCTAAATAAAATGCATCGTGGAAAAACAGCTTCATTTGCTGCTCTGTGGGTATTGATCAACCACCTTGGAAAAAAAACTTATCAAATTTCCTTTTAGGAAAGCATGAGCTGAATGAGTGATACTCAGTTTATTTATTAACCTTGCACTCTTTTATTTTTTTTTAATAAACTGTTTGAAATACTAGTAAGGATTCCCATCGAGTATTTATCATTTTTTGGATCATGATCAAGTGAATGTTACCTGAATTATCTGTATGGCCATGTAATTTCCATTAACAGTAATAGTAATTGCAAGCATGTAGAAAGAGGATGGCTTATCCTATGATCCTACCTATTATCAAGTAGTTAACTGATTAAGGTTAGGATACTGCAAGCCACTTCATACCATCAGTGAACTCTCTGCAACCCCATTATCTTCATTAGGCTTGTGTGGGTGTAATTAATTGGTGTTTAGTTAACAGTTGTGTTGAATGAAAAGAATTTAGTTCTATTTCTCTTAGTTTTATTGGCCCCACGGTGCTAACAGGCTAAAGTGTAATTAAAAACTCTCTAATTGAAGTATATGTAGAAAGCTCCAAGGAACAAACCCAGTGAGAAAAAGCCTATGACTGGTATGACGCTGGCCTTTGAGAAATGACCAGGCACAAATGACACCCTAGAGCAGTTCTTTTTTGTTTTTCAACTATGAAGATGTTTCACTTATATCAGGATGTACATTTAAAGTGTATTACAAGTGTATGAGCTTGCAATCATCACTTTCCTAGGTATGTCCAGTAACACCATATTTTGATGTTGTCTCAACAAATTTTCTCCCAAAATCTTTTAGATTTTATAGTATTTTGGGTGGACAGAGAAATGGGTCTTCTGTGTCTTTCAAGAGCAGCTGTACGTAATTTTTATTGTCTCTTGCCTTTCCTATAACTCTTGTGCCAGGAAATAAATTATGATCAGCTATTCCTCATTCATGATACTGTATTGTGTGCATTCCTTTTTTCACAAGATGCTTTGTGTCTCACTTGAGTATTTATATGTGGTGCTAATCTGGGCCACTCTAAAACCAAGTATAATTTGGGATGCTTAAGTGTCACAGAAAGGATTTGCTTTTTGCCGTTCTAAAATGTTGCTTTAAAGATATAAACTTGCCCCTTAAATCAATTAAGATCATGGTCTCACTGCCATCTGTGTTCTTGTAGGATTTCACAGAAGAGTAATGTGTGCTCATTCCACTGACAGGGTCTTCTTTGAAGTCAAGTCTAAGTACATAAAAACCACGTGACATTTCCATTGCCTTTTTAGCTTGCTGATTCAAATATTCTTGAAGAAGTATATTACTGGTTTTGTGGCATTTTAATATCTTAAATAGAAATGGCTTTTAAATCTTTTTACACCTAAAATGTTTCTGTAGTATTTCTTTTAATTCTTAATATTCTGTAAAAGATAAACCTCAAAAACAAAGCTAAATATAACTTTATGTACAAAAGTAAACAAAAGCTTTAGTCCTAGGATGTGGCTGGACATAACATTTAGATTGGGCTTTGAGTCTAGATGAAAAACTTCCAAGAACTTGCATAATATACATATACTGGATATTTGGAAATTTCTAATAATGAATTAGGTGGCTTTTTTTCCCCTCAAGCATTATTATTTTAATTTCCAGAGTACTCATATAAGAGTTCATTTGCTTTGAGTAATCTGTCTCCGCTCCAATGGTTACTTCAAGTTGAGTGGGTTTTAGTACTAATTTCTTTCTAAAGTTTGAGGATTCTTCCTGTGGGTCTGTTCAGCTCCTGCTGTGCAAGGGTGAGCCAAGCCTTCTCCAAAAGAACCCGCTGAACTAAAACGTGAGAGCTGATAGGCTTTGTTTTATCATTCAAACTCAAAAGGTAATGTGGAAGGCACAGTATTTAAAGACAAATTTTTGAGCTGATTTTTGAGTTTACACAAGATTGTCCTCAATTTTCTGTGATACAGCTGGCTTTTGTTGTGTGTAGGGCTTTTTATGTAAAGCACAAATTATTAATGAATGCTAGGTTGAGTCTCAGATATTGAGAGTTTACTAGATGATTTATTTGTGCATGTATTTTGAAGTAACTGTTACAAGCTTTAAGGCATTCTTGAAGCCTACCTGGTTCAGGGACCCTGACATGATGGATTATAGGGATTTCTCTCAGTATATTGTCAATATCATCCTATGAAATTTTAATACACTTACAAATCTATACAGGGTCTGAATGTTACCAGGCTTTGTGAAATGAATGTTAAATACTCTCTATGACATGAAAATAAAAATGTGAGTTCATACATCAGTTACTGCATATGAGATATTGATATAATTTCTAAGATGAAGTGGCAACATGGCCATGATATGTTTGCAATTTATACAAACAAACAAACTCAGAGGTGAGCAGAGAGTTAGAAAAGTGGAACCATGTACTTAAGTTTTCTAGTTCTGAGGCTTGGTAGGAAAAACTTACTTTTACATACATCAGCAGAATTTATTCTTGCTCATCATCTCCTTTTTTATGGTCAGAATGGTTTTCTTGATCTAGTCTGAACCTGCAGTTCAAACAGCAGATAGAAAAAGTAATGTATTAGTTAGAAGGGAATTACTCTTTTCTGCTTTTCCGACCAGTTTGTTGAAATAAGGCACCTTTCTGAAAAGAACTATTTGATACGTTTTTAAAGGTTCTAAGTACTAAGGCACCTTTTTTTTTTGGTAAATCTTTCCATTCATTACTCTCACTATAAAGAATTTTGCACATTTTTTTCTTTTATCTATTTTTTTTATTTGCTTTATCCTTCAGGCTTTGGGTCTTCCTCTTCCCTTTTATTTTGGATTATAAATCCCCTGAATTTGCTCGACTATTTGAGAAGCTGTACTTGCAGTTCCAAATACAGAAACTTTTGGGGTGGTTGGAAGCAATGTGTAGGTTATCTGTTACTGGTTAGCAGATCAAAGGCTTACATGACTGGGAAGTGAAACCTGACTAGGGCAGATGAACTGGTGATCTGTGGGATACATGAAAAATTAAGTTTGAAATCAAAGTTATTTACAAGTATGTAACAGATGAAGTTAATATTGCAATAAGTGAGAAATAGTGTTAATTGAGTTCTCAACTCCTGTAAATTGCTGACAGATTTTGAGAGAAGCCTTTCTGTTTATAGGAAAAATGAAGCTGGTAGCAGAGGGGTTTTAGGAGTTCAAATTAAAAGGTATTTTTTGCGTTACTATTGAGGCTTTCCTTCGTCTTGTGATTTTTTTGCTTAAACACTTTTTTGGGAGGGACAAACTGAGTATGGAAGAAAAGGAAGAATGGCATTTTTTTTCCCCATGGCGTATCTCCTGATTTTTACAACCTTAATCACTTGGGGCATGTCTTGAACTTTTAACCTTCTTTCCCCAGCACTGATGCTGTGAATAATGGACTCTCCTGCTTGACACATAACTAGATTGCAGTTCAAAGTGGATGTCACAAACACTATTGCACCATCTGGAGCTTGACTATCATTTTGGGATAAGCCCATAAGATCATATGAATTTATAACTGACTTCATTTTTTCCATTTCACTAATTTTGGTTTCTTTAACTCAAAAATATGTTATTTAAAAAAAATCCTCCTGCTGTCGATAATTTTTGCAAAAAGCCCCAGGATTTTCAGATCTTGTATGAAAGTCATATTGCATTTATATCTATTTTGATCCTCCTTTTTGCTATAAAAAAGTTTTAAATAGTTTCCCTGAGGCTAG